AAGATATAGCAGAGATGCCCTTCATTCTAACAAAAGGAACATGTGCAAGTCTTTGGTACCAAATGATGTCCACTTTATTCAATGCTGCTTCATTACAAGATGGAATAGATTGAGACAAAGCATTTTGTGAAGAACTAGAATTACACAATGAAGAATCGGAACTATGATCAACAGTAGTAGAACGTAAAGATGGAAAGCTATATGTAGTAGGCATAGTAAAAGCATTTTGAGCTGAAGAAGAAAAGTCAGTGGTGCAAGCAAACTTGTAAAGCCCATCCTCTTGCTTACCAAGCTCTAGAGGCATCTTCAGAGAAGGGCCCTGTAGCAAGCAAGAGTCAGAACTAAACTGTGCAATGCATCTCAATAACAGAACAAGTTTGTGCACAAAAATTAGATTATGTTTAAAAGAGGGAATGTAAAGTACATCTGAAAGAATAATAGAAGGATATAAAGAAAAAGACCCAGTATAAGTAACTTTAACTTTATATCCATTAGAAAGTGTGACAAGATAAGGAATAGGCAAATGTGTGATATTGGTTAGAAAGTCCTTGTTATAACTCATGTGATTAGATGCTCCAGAGTCAATAATCCATTTATTGGGCGAGGACTGACTCAACATGCAAGCTAGAGAACAAGTCACTACTTTGGGAATGAGCATATTACCAGCAAAATTGGCAGAAGCTTTGAGGTCAGATTGACATGGTGCAGAATCAGATGCATGGGAATGTTGTAAAAGAGCCATTAGCTGAGAATGTTACTGTTTGGTTAAACCAAGTACCAATGAACCCTGTGAATTATTGTTGGTAGTTCCATCAGTAGGAAGAGAAGAAGAATTCATACAATCATCAGAAGGGAAACCAGGAGGGAAACCATGAAGCTTGAAGCACTTATCAATTACGTGCCCACTCTTCTTGCAATATCTGTAGAATAGATTCCCTTTGGCTTGATCAAAGTTCACTCTTTGGACATACTGTCTCTGAGTGTTGGAACCAGGAGGTCTATAATTTGTGTTGGGACTGGACTGATGGTTAAGGTTGACTTTGGCAGTGAAGGCAGTTGAATCGGGACCAAACTGAGAGTTGGAATTGATCTGCCTTTGCCTTTCATCTTGAAGAAGAATGTTATATGCACTGTCTAGTGTTGGAGGTGGTTGCATCATGAGCAAGTTGCTCCTGACACTAACATAAACTTCATTCAGCCCCATGAGAAAATGATGAAGTCTATCCTCTTCCTCCTTTTTGAGAATACCTTCCTTTGCACAACAAATGCAGTGATTTCCATGATTTTTACAAACGACTCTCAATTCATCCCACAATTTCTTTAATTTGTTAAAGTACGAGGCAATATCTAGGGAACCTTAATAAGTAGAGGCGGGTTCTTTCTTAATTTCAAAGGCTTTAGTTCCATTTACAGTCCCATATCTTTTATTTAAATGTCTCCATATTTCTTTAGCTGTTTTAGAATACTGGACACTATCCGCAATATCAGGAGATAAAGAACTTATTAACCATGAAATTACCATATTATTACATATGTCCCACTGCTTAGACTCGATGGAATTATCAGGAGGTTTAGGCAAACTACTATCAACAAACGCAATTTTGTTCCTAGCAGACAAAGAAATAATTATACTCCTTTTCCAACCCCCAAAATTTATTCCAGAGAAAGAAACTGGTACAAGCGAAACACCTGGAACATCTGAAGACTGTTCAAACAAAGGACTAGAGGGTTTGGGAATGAACTCATGTGTGCCAAATGCACTACTTACATCAAAATCAGTAGATCCCATAACTACTATAACATTCAACAATGAAAGTTTATTCGATGAATCTCATGCAAATAGGAGAGATATACAGAGTTACCAGATTCTTCGCAACCGGAAGTACGTCCTTCAAAACAATATTTCACAGCAACACAACAACCAAATAACACTACACAGCAACACAACAACCACGATTGATGAAATAGGATGAAGTCGTAAAACCCTAGAATTCTCGAGCTTAACGACGACTACGCAAATTTTTAGATAAAACCTCCACCAGCAGACAAATGAGAAACACAAGCCAGAACACACTCAGATGAGTCAAATTGAATCGGAAAGCCGCCGACGAAAACAGTATGTAGACTCCAAATCGCTACCCACACAAATTGAAATCCTCAATGAAACTCGATGAGGGTAACATCAGAAGATAAATGAGGACGAGATGGACCAAAATCTAGCTCTGATACCATGAGAACATGAAAGAAACGATCGAAATTTTGAAAAATGTATTAGGGTTCATGTGATAGAGAAGAGAGGAGAGAGGATCCTTCTAGAACTAATATAGTTATATATGTATCTGTATAACTATGCATAATTTATGTATACTGACTAAAAAAAGTAAACATTAAATCTGAGAGGCTATTTGTGTAACAATCCCTTAAATTTCTCTAATTTGGCCTGTAGAGATTCTTCATGTAATTTGTAAATGAGCTTCTTCTTCTTCTTCTTCTTCTTTCTTCTTCTTCTTCTTATATTTAGTAAATAAAGCCAACTTTTTTTTTTAGGAGAAATGAATTCATGTATCGCTATGTATTTTATAAGATTTTTATCTCTAAGAAAATGCCAGAAAATAAATTGCACAAAAGATCATTAAGAGTGTATAAAAGAAAAGCTACGAACAAACAATGAAAATTTTACTTCAGATGACAACATTAATATATTTGGAAGTTAAGGTTATTCTTTAAATACCAAAAGATTAAGGTGAGCATATATATATATATAT